CAGGGAGTTTCCACGCTCGACCCCTCCTGCAGGTGCCTTGCTGACAGGTACCTTGTTCCTCCCTCACCGAGGAGCCAAGGGCAGAAACACAAACCCTGCAACGTGCCCGCTGGCTGCAGCAGCCCTCGCTGCTCGGGTGGGAGGATGTTCGCTCACAGGCTCCGTGACGTCCAGGCTGTTGCATGTTGTCTAACAAATGAGGCCTTCTGAAACGCCTTCAGCGCAGTCGCTTTCGGAAAACAGATGTTTTCCATCTTTAAAAGTTTATGAAGGCTGGAGTGTTGTCAGGGAATACTCGGCTCCACTCACATGCCCCTCTTAAGTAATTTGCCTGAAGTGTATGGGCAACCTTTCGTGGAGGATCATGTTCTAATTATCCTGCAGTCAAAAGCATGCCTGAACCCAGGGAGAAGGAGCAGAATTAACTGCTTAATGAGTTTCTGAGCAACTTACCTCCCCCGAGAACGCTGGACAGGACACACAGGAAGACAGAGAAGACGCAGGAACCGCCGGATGCAAACCCATCTCAGAGCACTAAATCACACGCGAGTGCCTGAGGCCGGGGTGACAGCAGACGCTGCTCCTAGGTGCAGGTACCAACAGGGAGGTTAATTCTGTGGCCTACAGCAATCCAGAGCGCACAGTGCTCGTCCTAGAGCCTCCTTGCTAGCACAGACCCTTCCCGCTCGCCCTCGCGCCTCAGCTACGCAGCAGGCTCCAATAGGTGCCCTTGGCTACCGGCCGTTTTCCCAAGCGAGGCCACGTTCCACGGGGGTTATCCCAATAACCGCCCTCTTCCCGCAGCGCGTCCAGACCCCGGGGACGGGTTTATTGGGGTATTTCTGCTAACACGAGTCACGGCGAGGCAGGGCAGGGGAACGCAGGTCGCACACCCCGTCACACCGTTATAACTGATGACACAGCCGGAACACCAAGGAAATCAAGAGGCTTCTTAGGAGCAGGGTTTGAGTTGATGAGGCCAAGGTACAATTGCAGCAGTGAACGTATCTAGAGTAAAAAGTGTAACTGGCCAGAAATAACCAAAGCAAGATCATTCCCCACGGAGAACTGTGTGCATCTCCACGGAAGCAGCCTCACTGACACCAACACAGGTGTGTTACGCAGCATTCCCCAAGAAGAGGACTTGTCAAAGGGTCTAATGACAAGCAAGAGGCGCCAAGTAAAGCTGGGCAAGGACAGTTCCTCGCCCGTTAGTCCCATCCCCAATCACAGTGCTCAGGGCCGGGGCTTGCAGACCGTGCCTCAATCACGAGGCTCAAGAAAGGGAGTCGATAGCCAGGAGGCCACAGACAAGAGCTGGCAACTGAAACTGCCTTTCCTTTCTGTCCATCTATTAAATGTGAGCTGAGACAACAGTTGCTATTGCCAAAGTACCTGATGTTTAGGAGTATTTTTGAGCTATGAGTGGGAGATCAGGCTGGTTAGCACCGGACAAGGAGCCTGCTCCTCCTCGACAGCAGAGCCCGGCAGGCTGCGGATCCGTCCTGCTCCGACGCGCTGCCGATCCCGTCCTCTGTCACGAATGCAGCATCAATGCACATCTGCTCCTACCTCCACAGCTGCTCCTAGTCTAAAATCTCACTTTCATGTGGCTCCCATCTACACGCCCCATATATTAGTAGTCTGGGAGGTGCGTTTCCCCTCAGCCTGTCATTCTCTGGGCAGGGGGGAATGGGCAAAATTAATTTACGGCTGCAAGAACCCCATATGTGCATCTCCTTTTCTGCAAGGGAATTTACTTTCTTATTTAACCCCTCCTGGCCGCTGGCACCGCAGGCCGATGATGGGGCTTGTAGAGGTGCAGGCTCTCCGCTCTCCCCCTCCCCCTGGAATCCTCCTCTCACTTGTGGTCCTTGGGATTCACCCAATGTTTCTCAGAAAAAAGAGAGGACCTCAAGACAAGTATGCATTTAATAAGCAGTGAGACAAATAAGCTCCAGTTATCCCAGCAGAATTACAACACCAGAGAACAATTTGCTGCATTCCTCTGAAGGCCTGAAGGAACCCAATTGCCTGCTCTCAGCCTAAATAGGTACCAGACACCAAGTGCTCCATAAGCAAACAGAGCCCCCAAAGTTCAAAAATGAAATAAGTAAAAAGCTTCACGTTACATATAAACCAGCCGTTTGCACCTTGTTATTAATGGCCTTGACTATGACCTCTGCCCCCCGCCTTGCTCAGAGCGACGGATCTACAAGCCTTGGCACCCTCACAACAATCCCGGGATGAGGAGGTGGGAAATAAACAGCGTGGCCCATGCCGAGGAGATGCAACGCGGGAAACTGGCGCGCAGGGAAGCGGCTGGAGAACCGCCCCGCGAGCGGCGGCTCCGCCGGGATGCTCCAGCACAACCTTGGCGGCAGCGGCTCCCCACGGGACGCAGAGGCGCTGCCACACACACGGGAACACAACATCTATACGGGAACACAACATCTATCCCTGCTTCCAGAGGCTGAAGAGCGCCCAGCAGGGCAGACACCCGCAGCAGAGCTCATCATCCCGAGGCCGATTTGCCCAAATGAGCGAGCGCAGCCCCGCGCGGCCCCCATTCGCCAGGATTAAAGGATTTGTCCATCCACATGACATCAGGCACCCAGCAGCACTGGGAAGCCGCCGAGTCAGCGCTGCAACGCCGTGCTTCCCCAACAGCCCCGCATGCGCTGCCGGGAGCTCTCCGGACACGCACGCAGCGAAGAACCTGCCCCACAACACGTCTAGATACTCAACTGCCTTTCGCTAGAACCTCGGGTAAGAGACGGCAAAGCCACACAAGAACTTAGCCACCCAACTGCCTCAGGAACAATAGCTCCAGGGGCTGGGAGAGCATTTCCCTCTTTCCTGCCTTTTTTAAGAGATTGTACTTATGTAACAGCAAGAGATTGGCAAGAAAAAAAGGCAGCACTCCTAGATACTCTGATAGAAGTGGATTTGTCATAAGATGTTATGAGACAGTGCAAGTAACACCAGAAAAAAGAAAAATCTCAACTCCACTCTTGCCAGCATGAATCAAAAAAAAATTATCCTTTTTTACAAATATACTTTAAAAATAATAGTATTGGTTTTCAAGGTCCTCAACTTTTTCTAAGAAAATCAGATACTTTTGATATTACTGTAAATATTGATACTTTCTGTAAAAGGGTTTTTGTCATCCCAATGACTATAGGGTCACTTTGCAGCTTGTTTCCAGGAAATGGCTACAATCAATGCTCATCTGTCCCAAGTCATAATCAACTTGTATATACACAGCTTAATTGAATGTGAATTGAAATGATATTCCTACAGTACGGACGAGTTAGTGAGCTCTTGCTCATAAGTGGCAAAGGAATGTTCCCATAAAGTATGCGCAATCCTGCTAGAAAAGTGATACAGAGCGCTCCTCCTTCCTCAAGAATTATTGGCATTGTGGAAAGGCAAGAAGATTTTCATTACATAGACTGTTGCCAGCTATACTTTCAGCACAAGCCCATCCCCTTTCTGTTACTGTTATGTCAGGGGAGGACAGTGAAAGAAAGCAGCTCTTGGGATGATACATGGAGGCAGCGCTTCATTTATAACCCCACACAAATGCTGGAAAATGTTCAACTTTAAAAAGCATTAGGTTGGTTACCTTATGGGCCCCTGCAGACCAAGAAGAAAAGTAACATGAACACAACATATCTATTAATCACCAGAGTGATTCCACAGTGAGAAATGGCCCCAGTGGCTTACTTTCAACTGGAAACAAAGTTGAGAAAGTTACCTACTAGGTGTTGGGCAGCTCAAAAATGTTGGAAGTATCTTTCCACAGAACTCACCTCTTGGCTCCTCAAAGCATGCAAGTATTTAACTTGGATTAAACATAGTCAACACAAAAACACAGTAGAGAGCAACACTGACATCTCTGCTTCAACACCAGTGTTTCCTTTTGCCAGAGTAATAAATAAGCTATACTTAAGAGATGCATAGGTGACTGTCTGCTTCGTAGTCCTTTGCTTACACATTAAAGAAAGATTAGGCATTATTTTTTCTCTGTCTTGTGCCAAGATAGATTACCAGAAAATGCAAGTAAACTGAGATACCACATACTGTATCTTTTCATTTTATATTCTGCCAAACACTGGATGACCACTCCACGGCCTGCACCTGCTAACTGATCCTTTGGTGCAGGTTCAGAAGATGGGAAAAGGAGTACTAGAAACTGCAGCTGTACAGAAAGAAACTTTCAGAGAATCAGAATTAAGGAATATTTTATGAAATACAGTTTCCTTGCGTAAGGTAAACTTACAGGATACAGAAGAAACATCTTTGTTTGCACAGTATCGTTTGTATTAAGCAACTGCTCAAGAAGTCAACATACTCACTGTGTTAAGAAGCAACCTTTTAATAAAGAAAGCGGAACCATACTTTGCTATTAACAAATATTTTGGAAAAGGCTTATGAAATCAAACTGAAGCCAATTAGCTTCTGCATCTGCAGCTGAGAAGGAAGTGTCAATACTCAAAACATCTGCTCAATTTGTGTTCTTTCATTTCTTATAAAGGAAGCATTAGCTTGTAGTGGTACAAGTGATTAAGAGAGCAATAAGACATTGCTCAACAAAAAACATTTCCTTAGATGATTACAGGCTTTAAGGTCAAAGAAATTCATAACATCAAGCACCATTACCAACGTAGAAGCCTGTGAAAGGTACCATTTTGAATAACACAGCTTTCCTTGCTTCCCCCCATCCACCTGACCATGCCCAGTAGATGCTGGAGGTCATGCTCATGAGATCAGTGGAATCAAACTATCCTGAAAACAGGCCCCGCTCAGACTGCAGTTAGCTCTCGACAGGGTGTAGACAGCACGAACACCTCTGTGTTTTCTGCCAGGTCGCTGAAGTGTGAAAGAGTCCCAAAGAACTGTAAAAAACAGAACACAATGATAAAATGAACTCAATTTCTACACATACCTTTACAGACTTCTGGTATGATCAATGAAATCCTGCATCTTTCCTCAATACACAGCTGCATTTCCCTCAGTAGTGATGCTATGAAATAGGCTCGTAGAGAACATTAGCACAGACTTTCATACACCAAAAAAAAAAAAATATTATCTGTAGGACAACACAGAACAGTCAACACCTACCACATATGAAACTTTACTACGATTTTGCTATTAAATGGGGATCAATGTTTGAGTCTTACTTAAAACTGGTGGGTCAACAAGACTTGGAAACAAAACCGGATCTTAAAACTCTGCTTTAACAGCAGATCTTTTCATCAGAACAGTACTCAAAGCCACAGAATAGCTTTGGTAAGAATGTGATAACACCTTAGTGTGTTACTACAAAGAAGAATCTGATTTCAAGCCCAAGAGGGAGAGAAAAAGGGACAAAAGCGAGGGCAGGG